GTAGTTGTACGTCATGCACGTGTAAGTAAGAAAGATGATCTACTTGTATTTGTTGGCTGGTTCCTGTTTAATAATTTTAATATAACGTATGTATTTAGTCGTTTATTTTGACATTGTTTATGATGCTTTCTTGAATAAATACATTAAAATATGACTTTTCTGGTGTATTATCTAGTGAAAATACTACATTAAATCGAAAGTTCTTATTACAAACGTTCTATTCCACCCTAAAGATTTGTTCTATATCTTGAATATATTTTCCCATCGGTCCAGAAACTAATTACAATCCCAAATTCATACAGTGTATTAACTACAGCAAAATGAAATGTATAGGAAATGAAAATAAGAAACTGTGCAATGCTAGGTGTACAAGTGTCATTTTGTTAAAGTACGTAATCTGAAAGAGTTGAACTATTAACACTTTTTACTCTTAAAATTGTCAATTTTCGTTTCTGTAAACCATTCCCAGTCACAGTATATTGTACTATTTTAAGCATGTGTAAAGTAAACAGTATACAGTAAATATATGTATTGTGTTTTGATATGTATTTTTACTCACACAGTTATCCTATATTTATACAAGGTTTGGTTTTTAAGAATAGCAGCATTGGTGCTATGAATTTATTTTTGCGAATTAGTCAGTCAGACAAGCTGTTTAAAATGATAAAAAAAATATGAAGCCCAATCTATCATTCAACTTACCACTTGTCACTGAGTTATACCAGTTTCAGGGAATTCCACCTCTTATCGCCATGTGAAGCCTAGTCTTATTCTTTTGATTTTCTCTTGTCCTGGGTTACTGATGAGAGGTGGAATTCTCTGAAACCACTATAACTCAGTGACAAGTTGGAAATGTGTTGATAGATTAGGGTTCAAATTTATCTTTTAGTATACAATACAGTGCTTTGAATAAGAAATAAAAAATATTATTTTCAATAATATTAAATTTGTTATTTATCAATTCAGAGTGTTAATAACATAACCAATAATTTTAAACTTGCATTATATCCACTTGTCATTTAACTTCATATCTCTCTCCTTATAAACAGGTTTTATCCTTCAAATCTTATGCCAGAATTTAGCAAAAAGCTTTTATTTTACATACAGAATTAAAACTGTACAAAATAACTGAGAACTGGGAGAAATGTATGTTTTTTTGACCTAAAATAAAAGATTGACATAAATTGTCAAGAAACATTCATTTTTTAGGGCATCTCTTATAGAAAAAACTTAAATTGATCAAATGGAAAAAATTGTGTCAACTGTTTTCAATTTTAGATTAACTCTTAAATGTACGTTGATTATGTTAAATAGTATGGAAAAATCATAGTAGTTCATTTATTGAATAAACACATAAAGAGTAAATTTATCAGTCATGCATTTTTGATGACCCTCAGAGTTGAATTGATTACTTATCAAGTGAAATCTTGTGAAATTATGGCAAATAATTCTCCAGTTTTTGAGGTTTAACCTGCAACCCCTGGGTCATGTCACTAAGTGCTTCATGTGTAAAGGCAGTTCCAAGCAAGTCCCTGTATCCTGACCATCACCAAAGATTTAAAAAATTATATGAAATGTCCATGTTCATAATATAAAATTAACTTTTTTTCTTAAATTTTTTTAGATGTACCGAGACATTGCTCAGATTCTTTCAGACTCTGCTAGAGATTCAAATTCAATGATAACATTGTTTACAGGTATGTTAGGTGTATGTATGTATCTTTAGAGATTATAAATTATTTAGTAATTAACTTCAAGAGAGGTTGCTTATAATTAAAAATGATTGAAGACTATTTAAAATTTATGTGGTGTTAGTGTGTATTACACAGTGTTCAGAATTGGCCTCTATTATAACAGATGATTATGATAATAAACATGAGATCTAGGATGTTTATTAATTGTTATAAGTTTTTCTTTCAATATTTAAAAATGCAACAATTTCATCATAATAAATGTCTGATATGACTTACAAGAGTAGCATGGAAATTGTACTTTTTAGAAATATGTTTTATATTTCAGGTACTGGTGACTCTTATTGTAGTGGCAATGATTTAGGAAACTTTAGCTTACCCTCTGATGCTGACATTGCTCAGCTGGCCAAAAATGCCAGTGCCTTACTAAGGTGAGTTAAGAAAGTTTAAGAAATCAGTGGCAGTAAATTTGGCAATATTGCAAGATGTATTATAGAAAAAAAAAAAGATGAATATAAATCCAGATAAATAACAGACTAAATGATTCTTGTTTTGCTATATTCAAGCCCTAATCTGTTTTCTCTGAACATTTGGACTAGAGCTAGATTACTAACCCAAAAATTATCAGTTAATTAAAATAAGTATTTCCAATTATTACTGTTTTCTATTATTCCAACTATCAAGTAATTGAAATGTTGCTATTATGATTTCTCAGTATTATTTTTTTGATGAATTCATGTTAGTTCAGCTCTGGTCATCTATGGCCTGGTGATTAGGGAAGTTGCCTCATAATTTGAGCATCTTGGGTTCAATTCCTTTTGTCAGCAAACTTATTCTCCCTTTCAGTTGTGAGAGCATTATATTTGTTTCTTTTTTTTTTGAGCTATAACAAAGTTGCTAAGCCTATCTGTCACCAACATCCCTAATTTTGAACTATCAACTAGAGGGAGGACAACTGGCTAGCAGCACCCACCACCAACTTTTGGGCTATTTTAGTGTTAAATAAAGTGTAAATTCACTGTATTTTTTATATGATGTTATATTTCTAATTAAAAGTTGCATTACCATTGTCTTTATATGTTTATAAGATGTAAACTTTGCTTTTATTTTATGTTACATTGTAATATATGTGTAACTTTACTCTTTAGTGTTAAATAAAGTACAGATTTACTTTTTTCCTACATTGTGTATGTGTTATATATGTAACACCACACCTCTTATTTTCTTAATTTGTTTTTTGTAGAAGTTGTGATAGGCACTGGTATTCCTATACTGATCAAGGTGCAAATGCTCATAAAGCAGTTTTCTTTATCCACTTACTCATGCTATTCTTTTAACCACATGACAAAATACAAATGTAAATATACTAATCAATATTTAGTAAATGATAACAAGATCAATAAATTGATGCTTGCACATTTTAGTTCTATATTAATCATCTCATTAAAGTAACAAAACAAAAAGCATGACATAAATTTGCTTATACATTGTACGTTATATTATAAAAACATTATTAGTTATATACAAATAGACTCTGATTGCAATATAGCCTTCATAAGGCCTAGGGAAACTTTTTTTCTTGCATTAACTCTACTGACCCTGGGGAAAAAAGATCCCAACCCTAAACGTTTGACATCTTTTCTTTCTAAAATATCCAGAGAATACAACCTCATGCCTATCAGTTAGTGACATTTTCACCCCTTTTATTTGCCTGGACAAGTTTCCTAATGAACTATTTCCGATATGGTATATTATCTCTACTCACCTATTTAGTTTTTCTTGTTCAATGCTGCCCTCTATATGCAAAACTTTTTTGACATGCTACTTACCCATGATTATCATGGCTCCACTGTGTCTCACATGCAAATTGTCACGCCACAAACCTTCACCAATAGGAGTGTGACACAATCTCGTGATGCATATGGCTCCCTCTATTCGGTTCTACAAACTGTCATATCTCATTTGGCAATGCTACAGTCAAGACGTGTTTTGATTGTGCACTATTCATGCATTTTGTTCTTTATTAATATCATACGAAGTGGAAAGATCATTTTTAAATTTTCCCATTTTATAGTTTTCTGTGGAAACTTCCCTTATTTATTCTTCTTTTTTATTTGAATAACTCAAAATTTCATCATTTTATGATGAATACCGAATTTAATATAACCACTTCAGATGTTATACCACCTGCTCTTGCCATACTTACATAGGTTTCAGGTCAAGGGAACTCGACTGAGGAATTTTTGATCTTTATTCATCAGGAGATTTATTCTTATCTGAGTTGGCCTTCTTCTCCCAATAGTAATCAACTTCCTCTTAAACAAACCAAACCTGTTCATGAAAATGAGGATTTTGACAGCCTTTTTCCTCTTCCCAATTATGCCACACCTCTTCTGTGGAATCTTCCAGGTGTAATTCAGCCTTTTTATATAAGATTTCTTGAGTATGTTCTGTTTTATCCATTTCCCCGATTTCCTATAATGCTGTTCCTTCCTTATTACATGACACTCCTTCACCTGGCATTGTTGCCCTCAATATGGATTTTTTAATTTTTTTGACCTAATGTGCAATGACAAATAAACATGTAATAAGAATAAAGATATATAGATTTGTCATTTTGCTGATTCAGAATAATAAATTCTTGGCTCACTTTGCACTGAAATATTGTTGAATACAAAATAATGACTAATTATATACACATGATAAATTTATACTGTACTACAATAAACAAGTGAAAGTGGCACGTATTTTTAAGATTACTGTCTCATTGTAGAGTGAAGACACACCTTGAGTATCCTTGGTTTGATTGCCCATATCTGGTTGTGTACATTTCGCCACCATGTAATTGATTGGCTTGCTGTGTAGTTAGTTGTGTTCACAATACAATTGTAAACTTGATCCCAAGAACTAAGTGTATGTAACTTTTGTTAACCTGTACCCAGTTAGTAATATTACTAACTGATGTTATATTTAGCATTTTCCTGATTTATTATTGATGTCAGGAAGTAGAACATTATTTAAACAACATACTTTTTTTAGGATACTTACATATTTTCAAAAACTTTTTATATTAAATTAATAAATTTAATTAAACTTAAACTTCACAAAAAAAAATGTTTTAAGAAAATGACTAGTTTTGGCTACAGGTCTATTGAAAACTTCTTTCATTGTTGGAAATAAAATTATTTTTCTGAAAATGTTCAAGAATACACAAAATTTGACCAACAATACTGATGTTCAAAGAAAAAAAAAAAGACGATTTTAAACATTTTTCAAACATATAAGAGGGATATATTATATACCAGAAATGTTTGACAATTTTCTTATATATATAGCCAACAAAAAATTTTTTCATGCAAATTATTAAATGGCAACCACTGGAAGATGTTTGTTTTTTTAAACATAGGGTTGTTCAAAAATGCCTGAAAAGAGATTAGCTGAAAATAGAAAGCTTAATCACATGCGAGGGTAATTGATTAGTTGAAAGTGATCAAAAAGCCTGACAGTTAATTGATTATTAAATTCCACTAATTACTTAACTCTACACATAAACACTCCAATCCTTCAATCAAATTACTGATTATTCCAAAGACTAAAATAATAACACTGTACTAAATTTGTATTAAAACTACACTAAATTTTATCCATTTATCACCATTATGGACTGCACTCTCAATACATATATGTGGCTAGCTGTAATAATCAAAAAATTTTTCAAGGCTTTTGTTATGGAACCCAGTTGCACACTTTCCTCTTGTACTGCTTATGTAATTTGAGTTTCTTGATTTGTTTGTTAAAGTAGGAATCCTTTTTTCTTATCAGATTTGTCTTCATTTTATTTCTCCATTAATATTGTATGTGTACCTATAAGTAAAGCTAAAATTGATTTAGAATCAGTATGTCTTTCATATGCTGTACTGATTTGTGCTTTTAATCTGAAGTAGATTTCCATAATAAGTTTCTTATTTTCTTACAAATTTTTCTTGTTTTTTCTTTTACATTTTATGTTCATGGGCTATGTATTACTGCATTCGTTGAATTACTGTGTGAAAAGGTATCTCAAAATTAGAAATTAAACTTTTTTATGGCCCTAAACTGGAATATAAATAATAAAATGTATTTAATAACACAGATTTCACTGTAGTTTACTCAAGAGCATGAAGTTACAAATGCATGAAAATCAACTTAGATAAATTTGTACTTATCAAGCAGAAGAACAGCAGCTGATCATTATATATTTTCATTCAACTGGGCCGTTTTTAGTTGCATTAGTAAGCTGTTCATGTTGTTTAGAGAGTGTTTGTAATGATTTTTGCCCAGCATTTCTCTTTTTCTAAAATATATTTATCATTCATTCTAAACTTTGTCTACTTCTACAGAGGAACTCATGAATGTAAGAAGATTAGCTGAAAGCTCATTTTCAGTTGTATATCTAAATTTCTACAGATTCCACCTATGTAAATTTTGGAGCAATCATTAAACTTTAAAGTGTAGATATATCTTACAGGAAACTTCATTTTAAAATGTTAGGCCTAAATTATGGTCTTTTTTTTTTATTATTTGTTTTAGTGTAGAACAAGAACATGTAGAAAAATACATTATGTGCGTAGGCTTAGTTAGAAAAGGTGTACAGTAGCATTTTGAAAGTTAAGAATTCATTAAAATATTAAGTATAGTATTAAGTTATTTTTTATTTGAAGTAAATAGTCTTTTGAAGGCTTTTCTTAAGATTCAAGCAGTTTGAGTTAGAATTTGTTTTTTGGATTGCCCATGCTTGAGAGCATTTGTTAGCCAAATGTTGGTGCAGTGCTATACAGATTTTTTCTAATTGCAAAGTTATTTTGTGTTACAATTGGTGCTATGTAAAATTTTTGAAACAAATTATCCCCTGTATTTATTATACTAGGATATATATGGTTCTAAGATTTTTAAAAATTGCATAAAGCTTTTAATATCACATTTCTACAAAAGTCTTTATTGGTATACCAAAACCAATACAACAGGTTATATGTAGAATTTTCTAATGCTTCATGCAGTGTCCAATTTACTTGGCCTCTAAAACTAGTATTAGAAAAGTGTTCATATTACTACCTGTTGATTATTGAGTAGGAATCATTACATACTTTTCATATTGAAAAAAAAAAACATTATCTGGAGAGTTGCTGCAAAACCATGAATTCTCCAATGACTTTGACCACTATCTCCTCCTGAGGTTCTGGTGATGTTGCTAACACTGCCCTTACTTGGACTGTGGAAGATATTACCACCATAGTTAATCATGTCATGGGTTCTTTGATGCCATTTTTGCCTCATCTACCTGTCCCAATATCTGAAATGCATCCTTCTCTTTCTGAACCTGATAACATGGATGACAAATTTGTTTGGCTCTTTTCACTTCCTGGGTTTGCACTAGGTTACTATTTACCTGCTG